CTCACTGACGTCCAAAACAGGTATTAGATAATCATCTCTGGAAATAGATTCCTATGCTACAGCTCCAGGTCGCTGCTACCTTTGAATTGCTGTCTTGACATTTATAACAAAACCACTCCTCACAACTGATACCTCCTCACTCCTCATGAGGTTCAAAATGGATTTTTGAACCCACAATATATGCTCAATGAATCCTTTATTAATCAACCCCCTCACTTTACCAGTTTCATTCCTCAGTTCTTCTTCTCTATGATGTACGGCAGCTGTTCAATCAGGAACCCTAGAATTCATTTTTTATTTTCTCCTTCCTGTCACCTCCCACATCTAATCCATCAGCAAGTCCTGAAACATGTAGTATCTCAAATCTGTCTATCCTCTCCAGCACTCCTTACCTTCACCCTAATACAAACCACATTTTGCCTAATCTATAAAAACAGCCTCTTTGTTGGTCTCTTTAATCCCTTCAACTCATGGCTGCTGTCATCCATTCTTCATATATTACATTTACCTAAATATAAATATTTACCTCAAACATAAATCAGATAATACATCACCTTGTAATTATCAGAAGCAAATGTTTGAGGTATGTGTATTATTTCCCTTTGAGGACTGACTACACATTTCGACAGAGCAATGCTTAACCATTTAACCATGCCAATGGATTTACACTGGTTTGCTGTATTCTATTCACATTCACTTACTTATTTGGTAGAAAACCCAGGCTCTAATTATGGAACTAGTCAACAGTGAGGTTCCAAACACCTAGTCATAAAATACCGGTGTTAGATGGCCTACATCAGACTATTTGTGATAACATCTCCCCTACTGTAACTTAAAATTGACTGGAAAACAATGGTTACACCAAAATCTAGAATTCTATTCTAAGCCAAAGAAAAACACAAATTGTTCAGACTTGAAATTTCTGGATTAATCATGGAAGGTTCCATGAATTTCAAGCACAATCCAATTTCATGATTTAAAATTGACTGGGACTTCCAGTGCTGGTGAAAGCAGAAGAGGCCCACAACGCCTAGCTCTCTGGCTAGTTACAACTAAAAGCTGTGGACAAAAATACAAAAAGCCACTTACCATGCAAAAATCTGTACATGAACGTTCATACTATTATTATTCATAATAGCCAAGAAGTGGAAACCCAAATGTCCATCAATGAGTAAATGGATAGACAAAACGTGGTGTATGCATATGATGGGATGTTATTCAGCAATAAGGAATGAGGTACTGATTAATGCTACAACATAAATGAATCTTCAAATCATTACACTGTGCAAAAGAAGCCAGTCACAAAAGACCACATATATGATTCCAATCCAAAATTTACAAATCCATGGAGACAGAAAGTACACTAGTAGTTACCTAGGGCTGGGGCATAGGAGAGGGTGGCAAGGAAGGGGAGTGATGGCTAATGAGTACAAGGTTTCTTTTCAGGGTGATGAAAATATTTTGGGTGAATTTACTAAATAAAACCACTGTATGCTGGGCCAGCCGACTGGCGCATTGGTTAAGAGCTGGCTTAGGACACCAGCTCTGAACAGTAGGGCTCCGGTTCGGATCCCACATGAGGGCCCGTGATGCTACGCTCTCTATAGCTAAAATGATGAACAACAGCTCGACCTGGAGCTGGGCTGCTGTGAGTCGCCGGCGACGGCATAGGCTGCAGCGGGGCTGCAGTGGGCTGCCATGAGCTACATGAGTGGCCAACAGTTATCGTGAGCAGCCAGCAGCCGGTGTGAGCTGCCGGGAGCCGCTGTGAGCGGCTGACTAATGACCGGCGACCGATTGCCTTACCCGGGAAGAGCACAGTGATCATACCAACATGGGCCAATGAAGCGACGTCATCCACAACTAGACTGAAGAACAAAAACAGTAATTTGTCTACCTGTCTGTTCCCCTTCCCCGATTCCGCAATGCTGTTCCCCTTCCCCCAATTCCCCAATAAAATCTTTTTTTTAAAAGTAACTACCTAAAACACTGAAAATTAAGAAAGCTAGCACACTGGGAAGTCACAACCTGATTCATATAGGGGTATGTAGTAAAATAACTTACTCTTACCTAAAGACAAGTCTGGCCTTTGCCCTTGGCTTTTAGGAGATAATCACTAGGCCCTACTGTGGCCTTAGGCCAGCAAAATAATAACATTGTAATAGAGAGTGGATGCTTTGAGCCATACAAACAATGGGATTTAGAGTGGGGGCTTGTGTCTCAATATATCAGTTGACCTCTAGAGGGGTTTGACACTGTAAACTGAGATCAGCCCTGTGGGTAATGAATCATGTCTACATGATGGGCCCCCAATAAAATCTCTGGAGACCGAGGCTCGAATGAGCTTCCTTGACTGGAAAAATTCTATGCATATTGTAACACATTGATGCTGATAATTAACACTGTCTTAAGTCATGGGAAGGGGGTCCCTAGAAGCTCTGTGGTTGGTACTTTACCTTTACTCGGCCCAGTATGTCTCTTCCCCTGGCTAATCGTAATCTTTATCCTTTTCCTGTATCCTTCCCATAACCATGAGTATAACAGTTTTTAGTGAATTTGCAAGTACTTCTAGCAAATGATCAAGCCTTGAGAGTAGTCTTGGGAACCCCTAAACAATGCAGTTGTTCTAATAAGTGAGGGTGGTCATGTGGACTGTTGCCTTTAATTTCACAGTTGGCTAAACTCTCGCACAGTGAGTTTTCTGGGTTTTCCTCTCACCACTTTGACTCAAGAGTAGGCCCTAGTTAAGGAGATATATTACGATAGGGGATAGATAAAATTCTCAGAAAAGCCCTCTTTGAACAGAAGACTGGGTAAAAAAAGACACTGCAGGCCGGGAGGCAGGGGGGTGTCCAGAGAGAAGACAACTGGAGAAAGGAATCCTCTAATTCCCACACAAAGCCTGGGCTCATCCCTGAACTGTGAATACTTGGGACATTCCCAACCAACACAGCAAAAGCTTTGAGAACTGAACCACTGCTCACATCTCAGACTACCCATGAGTAGCACGTGCATGGAACAGATCCAAAACGGCAGAGCAGAGGCCTTTAAAAACTGAACTGATTAATGATCCCACACCTACATAAGTAAGACAGACCATGTAGTCTGAGAACAACTGGGCTGACTGCCTACTTTAAAAAAAAAAAAAAAGAAAGGGCCAGCCAAGTGGCTTGGTGGTTAAGAGCTGGCTTGGGACGCCAGAGGGCCCCGGTTCGGATCCCACATATGAGGGCCAGTGACACTGCCCTGTGCAGCTAAGATGGTGAACAATGACAGCAACTTGTCTGTTCCCCTTCCCCCAATTCCCCAGCACTGTTCCCATCCCCCCAATTCCCCAATAAAAATCTTTAAAAAAAAAAAATTTGAAGAATGGCTGAAAATTTGCCAAATTTGGCAAAAGACATAAAGGTACAAATTCAAGAAGCTCAGTGAATGCTAAACAGATTAAACACAAAGAAATCCACACCTAGACACATCAAAAATCGAACTACTGAAAATTAAACAAAGAAATTATCTTGAAAGCAATCAGAGAAAACAAAGCATTACTTATATGAAAACAATGGGTCAAATGACCATGGATTTCTCATCAAAAACCATGGAGATCAGAAGGCAGTGGAGCAATATTTTTTAAGTACTGAGAGAAAAGAACTGTCAACACAGAATTCAATATCCAGAAAAAAAAAGATCTTCAAAATGAAGGCACAACAAAGACATTCTCAGAAGAAAACAGAATTCATCAACAGCAGACCTGCTCTAAAAGAAATACTAAAAGGAAAGTTCTTCAGGCTGAAGGAAAATGGTACTAGAGGGAAATGTGGAATTTAGGAAAAGAAGGAAGAACAAAAGAAATGATAAACATCTGGGTAAACACTGTTAAGTCTTTGAACCATTTATGACTGGAAAGCAAAATTCAGTGACACTGTCTGGTGGGGAATTCCATGTATGAGACCTAACGCCTACGACAACTATGAAAATAAAGGGCATGAGTAAAGGACTAAAATGGTAGTAAAGCTTCTACATTTTATTTAAGGTGGTAAAATAGTAACTCTAAGAAGTCAATGAAAGGTTTGGATGTATATTATAATCTCTAAAGCAACCACTTAAAAAACAAAGAGATATAGCCAAAAAGTTTTACACACACACACACACACTGCAAAACTCAATTCAAAAGAAGGCAGTACATACAGCTGAAACTAATTCTAAAAAATGTATATTTCACAATAAAAAATAATTTAAAAAAAGAAGGCAGTAGAGAGGTTACAGTGAAATAAAAAAATAAAAACAGAAAATAATAAAATGGCAGACTAAAGCTAATCATGTTGATTATCAAATTGGATTTTTAAAACTATATGCTATCAATAAAAACCCCACTATAAATATAAAAAAGACAAAGATAAAAGATTGCTCATGTGTTAAGAGTGAAAATCTTAGCTCCTATACAGGGAACAGCTGTGTATCAGTTTGGCTGGGGTGCAGACAGAAATAAATAAAGCAAACAAAAGTATGTAGGACCAATGATCTCAGTTATTCTACGGAAAACTACTAAAGGCTTCTGTGCCAGTTATCAATTTATTGACTTTTAGTTCTAAATCCAGCCTTCTTTGCCTTTCTCTGTGACAGCAGAGCTGGACCCTACAAACACTTCTCCTTTGCCAACTTGGCTCAAAATTAAGTTTTGTGAGTAGAGTGCTAAAGGGACACTGCAGAAGCAGGGGGAGGGGAGGAGGCTTTTCTTTCTGGTTAGTGTGCTCTGGCTTGCTTGCTCTTGTGGCATTACACACCCAGCAACAGGAGGGACACTCAATGGCATTCACCCTTCAGCAAGGATCAGCAGAACGCATGCGGGTAGCTTCACAGAAAATTATGCTGGTGCCTGAGCTGGAACCCCAGTGACTTGGACAGGTGCCCAGCAAGTTCTTCTAGTACCCAATAGGCGGTTTCCTATGTGTCCCCAAGCAACAGCACCAGTGACTTTGTAATCCACTGGACCAGAGCTCAACCTTCTCCATAGAAATCTGAATCGCAACCTAAGGATATAGAGGGGCCTCCTTGAAAGCTGGTTGTGGCAAAATATACATAATATACAAGTGACCATTTTAACCACTTTTAAGTGTACAATTCAGTGGCATTTCAATACATTCACAAAGTTGCGCAACCATTACCACTAATTATTTCCACAACTTTTTCATCATCCCCCAAAACACTCTGTACCAATTAAAAAATAACTCCCTATTATCCCCCCTTACTCTCAGCCCCTGGTAATTTCTATTCTACTTTCTGTTTCTGTAAGTTTGCCTACTCTAAGTATCTCATGTAAGTGAAATTGTACAATATTTGTTCTTTTGTGCCTGGCTTATTTCACTTAGCATGTTTTTAATGTTCATCCATGTTGTATGTATCAGAATTTCATTCATTCTTAAAGCTGAATAATTCCATTGAATGTATATATATCACATTTTATTTACCCACTCAACAGCTGATGGACATTTGGGCTGTTTCCACTTAAATATATTATAAAATAAAACAAAACAATCTAGTATAGAATAATCAAAATTTAGCAAGATCCTTCAAAATGGGGGAGCAGAGGAAAAACTAAAAAGGGAAAAGGAAAAGCCATTGTATTGAGGACTGAGAAAGAAAAATAAAACTGTAAGAAGCAGCACATCTTCAATAAGCACATTATCTATTTCATTCTGTAATCTGTCTAGAAACTTTAAAGATTGTAAGACTACCATTTGACACATCACAGCAGCAAGAGAGTAAGTGTAACTATGTTTGAATGTCATCTTCCAACCACTGATACTTCATATATTATTAACAAGTAGGCTTTCAATACCTGTTATGTGCCAAGCACTACAGGAAGGGTGGACGGGGAAGAACAGACAATGTCACTGCCCTCGTGGAGCTGGCTTAATATAAGCGATAGAGAAGCTATCTGATTTAAGATCACAAAAATATTTAATTTTAAACCTGAAGTGCTGTGAAGAAAGAACACAGAACACTGTAATAAACTAAAAAAGGAAAATGTGATCTAGACCAGGAAGTGTCAAAGTTCTCTGAAAAAAACATATTCAAACTGACACCTGAAAAATAAATAAGAGTTAAGTGAGGGAAAACATGCCCCTTGCTAAGGGGTCAGAATGTACAAAGGCTGAGGTGGGAAGCAGCTTCCCTACATATCTGGGAACCGACAAACCAAAAATGATACTTAAACCTATGAAAATGGACAAAAGTGCACGTCATTTGGGGAGAAGGTAATGAGAAGGAAAACTTAGAGAGGAAAAAAGGACAGCAGGAATGTTTGTGGTCACTTCAGGTAACAAAAAAGTTTCAAGAAGGAAGTAGTAGTCAGATGTGTGAAATAATGCTGAGAAGCCAAGAAAAACTAAAAGTCCTGTGGAGTTGACAAAATACAAGTCACTGGTGACTTAGAAAACACTGTTTTGTGGTCATATAACTGCATCACCACAACAATCTAGTTTAACCAAGAATAGCTACTTGTAAACTATTGTCACTAAATGAAGCCAGAAGCTTTTTTTCATGACTCTACCATCTTGTTTTTTTTTTTTACTAGTTCTTCCTTTTCTTCTTTCTATGCTTTATGTATTTATTATTCTTTATTTGCTATTCTCGCCTGCTCCCTAGGAATGATGACAAGTTTAAAGTCACAGAGCCTTATTATGTTAAGACATGGATGATCAATCCTGCAATTGGCGCCTGGACCTAAGGGACAGATGGAGTCTGATCTCTCTATACCAGATTTCCTGGCTATTTCCCCAGTGTGTATCTAATTTTATGAAAATGAGTGAAATCTCTAGCTCATACCTATTCAGTAAGACCTAATAGTGTTAATAAAAGGATATTAGAATACCTTAGTAGAATTTGTTCCTAAGAGTCACAATAATCACTATCCTTTTCTCCTGTAGACGTGTAAAAATTGATCTGTGATTAAATGTGTTTTATGCTTTATGTTTAATCTAATTCAAATAAAAGTTTACAAATATATCAATACATTTTTTAAATAATTTACAAAAAAATATGTTTAAAAGCTAATTCTTTAAATGCATTTTAATGTTTTAATTTACAAAGCTTCACACAATTTTTCAGGGACATACATTACATAAAGTGAGATATACTAATTTATACTTCATTGTTTCATATTATTAAAGCAAACCTAATTTATTCCCAGCCTACTGACATTTGGCCATAAATCAAAACTTTTTAACAGCATTAGAAAAGAAAGGCCAATAAAAAAATCTCAAATTGAATTTCATGTTAAAGAAAAGAAAATGAGAATTAAAACCTAGAATATGTAATAACTATTGGGTTGTCGGAAAAGTCATGACGCATTTTTGAAACGAAAATCAGAAAAAATACGTCATAACTTTTCCGACAACCCAATATTTATCAAAAAATATACTGCTGTCTATTTACAAATATATCAGCATAGTTCACTATTTCTCAATAGGAACACTACTGACATCTAAGCTGAAGAATTCTTCAATGTGAAGGACTGTCCAACACAATGCAAGCCATTTAGCATCCCTGCAACCTGCTCATTAAATGTCATAGTGCTCCCTCCTTTCTAGTCATTGTGACATTCAAAAACAGCCCCCAAAATTCTGAACACTTTCCCTAAGGATGTTACACAGTACTACCCCCAGTTGAGGACAACAAGTAGCAGTTTGAAAAGTTTAAAAGCACCGCAACCTTTTCCTATCTTAATGAAAATACCTCAAATGTAGACTCCCAGGTTTCTGCCTTAACATACATTGAACATAATTTTAACATTTCTTGATGACAAAGATCTTGATTATGAACAAGGACTATTACATGCTACTTTAATATCATAAGGCTTTTAGAAATTACAGTGTGTTTTATCTTTGGTCCTATATTAGTTGGCCCCAGGCTGCTGTATTTGAACATAACAAAACTATTGTTTAAAATTTATACTCTTTTATTCTTTTAAGCTAAGGTTATTTCTCCCTAGACTGTCTACCTCTGGCACTTCCCTTGCAGTAGAGTACTTTTTATCTGCCAATGACCAAGCTTATTACATCAAAAGCCTGAATTGATAGATTAAGGCTTGAAGATGGCTCCAGGCCTTCCTAAGAATTACAGTGCATGGGTGTGGAGATAGCTACTTTCTAAGTTTTTAAACTTACTTTTGGTTTTATAACTGTGCTATGATTGAAAACTCCAAAGATCTGACAACTGGATAAATCAGAAATTAACATGCAGTTATTACTAAATAATCAATCCTTAGGACTAAAGTACACTGCTATATACTATAAAATACTCTAATCAAGTTCATAATTATTACTAATAATATTTAAATAACTCACCTGATTTCTTTTAGTCCTTCTCTCTGGATAACTTGAAGAATTTCTTTATGACTCATGGGTGTATTGGGGTATTTTTCTAAGACCTGAGAAACAAGTATATAATAATAAATTATTTCTTCTTATTTTAAGTTCTTCTTATAACTATATATGTAATTATATTTCTTATTCTTGTTATAACTACGTATTAATTTCATCCAGCACATACATATCCAGACACAAGACTTTTCATCCCTTATATTCTGGGGTAATAAGAAAAGTGGGAAATTAATGGAATATAAATAGGATCTTCTCCCCTTTAGTTGCAAACAAGTTAAAACCTGAAGCAGAAATAAGATAGGAAAGATTAATAACCCAATTATTTATTATTAATGCATAGTATGAAATTGTTTATTTTCTGCCTCCACCCCTACACCACATGCCTACCTGTAGATCTACTGTAAGCACTTTCAAGAGTATTGATCTTCACACTTTCAACAAAGCCTAGAACGGCATGGATGCTCAAAAATTCTCAATCAAAATGAAGTAAGCAGTTTATCCTGTTTCTCCCACCGAATATGTATAACTAAAAACCTGAACAGAATGAATGCAGAACTACCTGAAGACTCTGAAACTGATAGCAGTTAGCTGAGGAAAACACAACTAGAAGTACTACTAATGCGGCAGTGAGCTGCCTAGTTTTGATTCCTCTGGGACCACTCAGCCTAAAGTCAATGCGAGTCCAAACTCAGAACTGCACACTAAGTGCAGACAGAAATGGCCCCAAAAGAAGTCATCTCTTTTTTTTATATGAGGAGCAGTAAAGGGGGAGGGCAATCCTCTGGGGGTTTTACCCCTTTCTCTTGGCCCCTGTCCCCAAGCAATCCAAAGGCAGCAGCTGTGGCACTGATGAGATCAGCAATGTCTAGACAGGGACCTAAACCTCCAAGAAAGAGGAACCTTTCTGTCCCCACAAATGTGAAGGGAATCCCCATGGCTTATATTCTTTCCCAACCATCCTGCATTGAAGGCAGATGCAGTTGTAGAAGTGTGTGACAAAACAGGGAAATGACAACCCCAGTTGTCTAGTCACACGACAAGGGAGAAGGGTCTCTTGAAGCCAGCAAGTGTCAAGGAACTTGCAAAGAGAAAGGAGCTTGAGAAAGTGCTAACATGAATTTCTATAAACACTCCTCGGGTCACCCCAGGGCTATGCATATGTGGGCCAGACCCTAAACATACTATGTATTGGGTTGCCAAATTAGCCACTAGGTGGCACACATGCAGAAATATAGAACAGCTCAGCAAAGACTATGATAAGTAGACATTGGAATTTTAGTGTACAGAAGGTAGGCAGAAACTTGACCTGAACCTAACAAGGTCAAAGCCTGCTTAAAAAATCCTCCCATTCCTAAAAAAATAAAATTAAATTAAAATAAAATAAAATAAAATAAATAAACATTCTCTATAGGACTTAAACAAGACAGAGTATCACAACATCAAAATATTTAATATACAATCCAAAATTACCTGACGTATGAGAAACCAGGAAAATCGTAATATCTCACAAAGGAAAAGACAACCTACACACAAGACAAAGATGGCAAGATGCTAAAACTATCAGACAAAACTTTAAACCGCTATTATAACCATGCTTCAAGAAATCAGGAAAAATATTCTTTAAAAAATAGATAAGAAAGTTTCAGCATAGAAATAAAATTATTATTCAGTGTGTATAACAAATAATAAAATTTGGGGGCTAAATAATTCAATAAACAAAATTTCCTTGAGGAGCACAACTGCAGAATGGAGATAATAGAGGGAAAAATACGTGAACTTGAAGATAGAACCATAGAAATTATCCTATCCGATGAACAGAGAAACAACTGATAGAATAAATAAATGAACAGTCAACAGGACAAGTCAAAAGGTCTACCAGTCATGTCACCAGAGTCCCAAAAGGAGAGGAAAATGAGTACAGCACAGAAAACACATGTGAAGAAATAGCAGTAGCACACTTCCCAAATTTAGTGAAAGATATACACTTAAAATTTCAGGAAAGTCAATGAATTTTAAACAACATAAATTCATAGAAATCCATACCCAGATATATCACAGCCAACTAACTACTGAAAACTACAGACAATAACAACAACAAAATCTTGAAAGCACCCAAGGAAAAACAATATCCCATTTAGGATAACAACAATACAAGTGACTGGATTTCTAATCAGAAATCGTGGAAGGCAGAAGCAGTGGGAGAACATGTTAAAGTGCTGAAAGAACAGGACTATCAATCCCAAATTCCCATCTAGCAAAAATAGCTTTCAAGAATGAAGGGGGAAAGGGCCGGCCGAGCGGCTCAGTTGGTTAAGAGTTGGTTTGAGATGTCAGCTCTGAGCAGCAGGACCCCGGTTCAGATCCCACATGAGGGCCAGTGACGCTGCGCCCTCTGCAGCTAGGATGGTGAACAAAAGCTCGACCTGGAGCTGGGCTGCCGTGAGTTGCCAGCAATGGCGTAGGCTGCAGTGGGCTGCCATAAAGCTACCGTGAGCAGCCGGGAGAGCTACCGTGTGCAGCCCTCCAATGGCTGGCGACCGACTGCCTCAGCCGGGAAGAGTGAAATGGTCACAATACCAACATGGGCCAGTGAAGCGATGTCCTCCACAACTAGACTGAAGAACCAAATGACAGCAACTTGTCTGTTCCCCTTCCCTGATTCCCCAACGTTGTTCCCCTCGCCCAATTCCCCAATAAAATCTTAAAAAAAAAAAAGAATGAAGGGGGAAAAAAACAATACAAAAAATAAAAAGAATGAAGGGGGAATCAAAACATTCTCAGAAAAAGGAAAACTAAGGGTATTTGCCACTAGCAGATGTGCTTTAAAATACCTTCTTGTAAGTCAATTCTGGTTTCCTTTTTTTTTTGAAAAGAGAACTAATAACATTTTAATTTAACTTCAAGTTTCCTTTTTTTTTAAGATCCAAATTTTAGGCAGAAACTCTTATACCTAAATTGCTTCCCATTCTTAACATTTAAAAAATAAAACTTGGTAATTAAAAGATGCCAGTGAAAGCTAAAATTGAACCAATTCTCAAGAATCTATATGTTAGCAACAAAAGAATATTAACTAGTATTGCAAGTTAGTAACAACAGATACAGGACTTGTGTAATAGGAATCATTAAAGTCAGATATTCTAGATTGGCCATTAAAGCGCCACAATGTGATATCAGCAACTACCACTTATGAAGAAGATACAAACAAGTGCTATCTATACATCCTATCAGTTAAGTCTCAGGAGCCTTATAAAGGAAGCATTATTACCCCCATTTAAAAAAGGGATAACTAATGCTCAATAAGTAAGTTTCCAAACATAATACTGCAAGATAAGTGGCAGCCAGGATTCAAACTCAGGGCTATCTTACACCACTACAGGACACTGTGTCCTGGGTCTGCTATATAGAAATGCTACAAATACGTTTATCATCGTCCTTATCATCGTCCTTGATCTCTCTGCCCACCTGACAACGTTATTAACATTCCCTTCTTAGACATTGCTCTTCTCAGACTTTCTTCTTTCCAAAATGTTTCTTCTTACTCTTCTTTGTAGATGTCTTTTTCTATGCCTGTCCCTTAAATATTTTACAAGCATGAATTTGCAGCTTTTGCTTTTCACTCCATGAGCTCACCCTGAATAATACCATCTATTCCCAAACCTTCAATCGCCCCTATTTTGATCAATGAAAACAGCAACACAGTCTGCATATAACTGTCTTTTAAATTAAATATCAACCCCACTGGATGTTCCATAAACATATCAAACTTAACATGCTCAAAATTTAACTTATTATTACTTTTATCCATCTTAAGGCCCTCTGAGAACACTAGGCCTTTATCATCTATACTCATATGCCAAATATGTGTAAAACCACTGAAAACGAAGAAAAATACACCATGGACATGAACAGATAGTTCATAAAAGAGTTAATACAACTGGATAAAAACCATATGAAAAAGCATTTGCATCCTAAAATATTGAGAGATGAAATTATATAATGTATGGGATTTGTTTCAAAATTATACAGGAGGAAATTTAGATAGGGGTTTAAATATAGCGAGACTGGATATAAATTGATCTTTATAGAAGCTAGATGATCGGTACAAAGATATTTATTATATTACTGTCTACTTTTATGTACACATTGAGTATCTCATTAAAATTTATGGGGAAAAAACGAAACAGAATGTTTGACTTTACTAACAAATACGAATATCATATTTCAATGCTTTTTTCCCTAATTTGGATAGCAAAAACTTGGCAACAATAAATGACACCATGAAATGAATATGTACACATAATACAGTACTTAAACTATTGAGAATTTAAGAAAATATTGTTACTCATTAAAAAAAATTTAAAGGCTACTTATCCAATAATAGTATATTCAAGAAACTGGTATGTCTACACAACTGAATATTATACGGTCATAAATGATAAGGGATAATGACTTGCAGGGGCTGGGGGTGGGAGGTGGGTGACCTCTCATGGCCTCCCTCAAAGCTAGGTAAGGAACACAAATTCTGGACAACAGAATATGAAGGGGAATGATAATTTCAAAACCCCAGATCTTCAATGGGCAGAGGCATGTCCCTCTTTGGCCCCTTTTTCACCCTGAGTGTTTTGAAAACAGAGGAGGTGACAAGCCATTCTGATCCATGCAAGTAAGGACATACCCTAAAAATGGTGGACTGACTACACCTCCAGGCTGCTCATGAAGGAGAAATAAACTTCTCAATCATTTAAGGAACTGCTATACACAGCCAAAGCTATACCTAACTAATATGACTCACTTGTATATTCACATGACAGTAAGTGACCTTCTTAAAACTTAAATTAGGGTCAGCCGAATGGCACGTTGGTTAGGAGTTGGCTTGGGATGCTGGCTCTGAGCTGCAGGGCCCCGGTTTGGGTCCCCCATTAGGGCCAGTGATGCTGCGCCCTCTACAGCTAAGATGGTGAACAACAGCTCAACCTGGAGCTGGGCTGCCCTGAGTCGCCGGCAATGGCGTAGGCTGCAGCCCCTGCTGCAGTGGGATGCCGTAAGC